TGGTATATTATCTGCTGCTACTGAGATTACTTGGTCCCTGTTATTTTTTAAACTCCCCCTCCAAGTAGCTGTGACCCCCTAGTCCTTCTCTTCCCTACATTAAATAATCCCAGCTCCCTCCACCTCTTCCTGTAGGCCATGTCCCTCAGACTCATCACCATCCTGATAGCCCTTCACTGGGCCCTATTTTCTCAAATCCTTTTTGAAACAGAGGACCTGAAGTTGGACATGTATTGCTGATGTGGATGAAATCTCCAGTGTGGAGAAGATGGGGCTAACAACTTCCCTCAAACTGCTGCCCACCTTCTTCTTGTTGTGACAGGAGTGCTCTGGTGACTCATATTCAATATGGTCTATGTCCTTTCCAGCAGTGCAACTCCCACTTGGCTCCTAGCCTGTACCAGTATGTTGGATTTTTTTCCTACCCCAGGTGCAGGACTTTGCACTTCTTGCTGACCTTCCGCAGGTGTCTCTTTTCCCCATGTCAAGCTTCTTTGTGTCCCTCTGAATTGAAGCTCTTCCATTTGGCAGGTTCAACCATTCTCCCCTAACTTACTATCATCCTCAATGAGAATGCACCTTGTTTCTTTATGCAGGTAGCTGATGATGCTATTGAACATTATGAGTCCTGGTCTGCTACTGGGGTGCAGTGGTCCAGCCAATTTTCACCTCACCTAACATTCCAGTCTTCCAGTCCATTCTTCTACAGCTTCTTTCAGAGAGTGCTGCAGAGACAGTGGTGAAACCCTTCCTGCAGCCAAATAGTCTGATGTCCACTGCTCTCCCACCATGCTCATAGACAGGTATTTCATCACAGAAGACAGTTTTGTTGATCAGGTCAGTTTGCGCTTCACAAATCTTTGACCATTCTCTAACGCCTTACTGCCCTGTTACGTGTTTGGAAGCAGACTCAAGAGGTTGTGCTTCCTGAACTTGCCTGGGACTTGAGACAAGACTGACTGTACCATGTTCTCTGTCTTAAAGACAGGAACAACACTGGCCCAGTCCCCAGGGACCAAGTTCTGGTGCAGACTAAGAAGAGTACATCGGCATTTTCCCATATTTCATGTCACTTGATTATCTCCCTCACTCATCAGTGGACCCACATTGTTCTCTATGTGCATCTCCCTTGCAAATGCTCTAGATATCCATTGTTGAGTGTGGGAAACTTACAGGCATGGGGCTCCTAGACTCTGGAGAGGAGACAAGTCTGGGAGGAGAAGAGATTCCAGGGCAGCCTTGACAGTTGGCTGCACATCTGAAACCGGCAAGTGGCAAATCTGAAAGCCCTGAACAGCTCAGAGGCACTGATGTGGGAGAGCTGGGACTCGTTTGACTATACAACCAGAGCTGAGGACCAAGCAGATTTGAATCCCATGCATTACTGTAACACCACAGGGTAAACACTCAGCTTTCTGAACTTCTTTCTGTGCCACTGATGAACATAACCTGCAAGACATGCTAAGAGCAGAATAGTCACCAAGCTACTTGTACCTCTAGTTATCTTCTAAGCAATTGCCTTCTGAAGATACACTTCAATTAAGGCTGAAGTAATGGTTACTTCTCTCCATTGTTGTGCAGAGTAAATGAAGATGTGCCAGACATTTCTGCTTAACCTCCTTAACCTTCGTGCTGACTGTCAGCCTTATGTGATCTTAGCAGCAGGTCCTGTCCATTCTCTACAGCAGAATGAATAAAAGGATACTTTAGTATGGTCAAAAGATGACTTTGCTTCCTCTTCAAGGAAAATGTAAGAAGTTAATTTAAATGTCTGTAAATGTTGTGTACATATTCACCTGCATCCAGTGCTGCTCTACAGAAGGGATTCTGTATATCTTTGGCTGAGTGACTCAGATTTGGGTATATTAAAATACATGTAAATCCTCAGCTGGATCTCAGAAGGAAGCTCTCAATAACTAGGGCCGAACACCAGGGAACATATTTGCAGCAAGGCATTTATTAATGCAGTGAATTTAGCTCCATTTCCTGTTTGCAACGTATCCAACAGACCCCAGTTGTTATTCCAAATGTGTTTATAATTGCATTTTATTTCAGGCCTGTTTTATTTGTACATATTCCAGTTTAAGGAAGGTCACACGCACTCCGTTGTTTCAAGTACAACCACTCACCCGCATGACGCGGTGTTTTCCCAGATGACTGAAACCTTTGTGAACAGCCGGTTGTTCCTCTCCCACGCAGGCACAAGCACAGCCCCAGACACATCTGCAGCGTATTGACTGGTGGGCACCAGCCAGACCCCTCAATGCACAGCCCTCCAGTCTTCTCTGCCATGCTCAAAGAAACTTTTTGACCCCAAAGGTCTCCTTGGCACGCACGGGGTGGGACCACTGGGAGTGCAACCTCCGTGGGAAGGTGCTGAGGTCTATCATGGCTATGACAGTTCACGGCTTGCCTGGATGGAGAGCAGCTCCCACACCACCCAAGAGGCAGCAAATCTTCCTAGCCTCTGGCCCATGGCCAACTCCCAATTTCACCAGGGGGAAAAAAGAGTAATGAAACAGTATCCATACAAGTTCTTTTTTAAATGTCATTAAGAACATTGTGCAAGATTAATGGCCTCGGGAATCTCAGACCTTTCCAGGAGAGGAAGCTCCCTTAGACCAATTTTTGTTCAGGCACCAGTGTGACTTCTCCATCAAGGGCTCTGCTTACTGTCACAGCTGAGGTGGCTTACTGCGAGACTGCTGGTTGGAGAAACAATCTGGTTTTGCTAAATTCCTTCTGCAAGTCCCCTAAACACAAGGTCCGAGATTTTTAATGGTGTGTAGGCGTTGTTCTGTTTAGCATTGCAAAACTTACACATGACCTAGCTAAATCGTATTTTCAGAAGTGACTGAGGTCCTCAGGAGCTTAAGGAGTCAGAGCAGGATTTTAAAAGCTGGTTGAGACATGATTTGGTTTCATTTGAACAGGCAGGAAACAAAGAAGGGCAGTGGCAAAGAAAGCTTATGAACTGCCTATCATTTTGCTTTACAATCACCAAAGTCTTCTCCTAACACCTACCTTCAAGATCAATCCCAGGGAAAAGGGAGAAAAAAGTCCAAGATTTGAATAAATGTACAAAATGAAAGGGAAACAGATGATAAATCCTGAAGAACTAGTACATTAGATGATGGCAAATCCTGTCTGAGTAGACATCAGATGCGCTAGATGGGAAGTAACTGAATGATGTATTGGGAGTCAAGAAAGCAAAAATCAAAACCTAAAATATTTTAGTCTACTTTGCCAGAAAAACAGCATATGTGATCATACCTTGTGTATCTGTGCTTCTTTCTTCTCCCACTTATCCTTTTTAATCAAATTAAATAGAAGAAACCTTCCAAATAATTTAGTAAATAGCCAAATCAAGAAGAAGCTTTTTTGAGCTGCCACAGAAACTCACCTCATTGTAATAGAGAGGCCAAAAGAGAAAGTTACTTTTGTATATAATGGTCTCACTGTAGGAAAAGCTTGATTAGGAGATAGCAAGTCCTTAGAGCACTGGCTTAGGAACAAGATCTACTTAGAGAACTGTCAAAATCATGGTTCTCAGCTGCAAGCCCTCCCTGCTGCACGGACAACAGCTTGGCTTTTGAAGGAGGCAATGAGCAGTTTCAAGGTAAATTAGCATCAGGTTTTGTTCCCCTTAACAAACCCCATGTTATAAGCTGTAGCAGGCAGCCAACTGCTTCAGTTCAGCCACAGAGGTAGCTAGTATCGACAAGCATATTTACTGAAGAAGGGGAGGTTCCTTGAGGCATTGGCAGGGAATCAAAACAAGAGGAGAAAGCGACTCCAAGGACAGGGTAACGGAGAGTCAAGCTCAAGCTGACAGTAAAACCGAGAGCAAAAAAAGGCTAGTAATAAAAAGGCAAGAGTGGAAACATCTGAAGTTGGAAGTCAGCACCACTCATTCATGAGCACAAAAGAGGAAATCATCAAGCAAGAAGGAAAGAGAAGAAACAGACAAGACAAAAAAGATGAAACAGCAAATTGTCTGGTAGTACAGAAAGGTGGGGAGGGGAAAGGGCAAAGCCAAAGGCTACTACTCATCACCATTTCTTTCTCTGTTCTTTTCTGCTTAGGTATCAGCTCTTAGTTTCTACAGAAGCTCTTTCTCCTGAGTCATAAGGCATTTCTTACCATCAGGTTTTCACAGGCTTCCTGCTGCTGCTTTGTAGGCAGGAGAAAACAAGACCCAAAGAGCGGAAATTCCAGATCTTATTCAGAGACTAACACGGGAGAAGCTCTGGCCATGTTCTTCCCCATCCAAAAATCCCCTCCTACCAAAGCCACCTCCTACACACACCTGAAATCACCCCTTAGATCTGACACAAAGCACTTGACAGCATCTAATTTCCTGAGTAATTGAACTGTTGTATATTTTAAACATTAGCATAAAATATATTAGTTCTTTTTTCAAGAAATTTGTACTTCTCAGAAGCTGGAAACCTACCTCCATGCAGAAGGATAGATGGACAGCAGGGAGAACTAGGACATAACACACTTTGACTATCTGAAGTGTCTAAAGCCCAGTTCAGGCAGAACTGAGGCTCTGATGAAAATTTAAAGTTCTGCTTCCCAAACTGGTGAGCACCAGTGCTTCAGGGAAAACTGGAAATTACTTAGCAAATGAAAAAAAAAATCCTTTAGGTATTGCATGTATATGATACACAGTAACTATTTGCAGCACATACCTTGAAAGGGTCCTTTATTTTGTTTCAGTACAGATTCAGTCCAGTTCACAGAAAACACATTAGTTAATACATATCTTCACTTTGTAGGAGAAATAGGCATGAACACATGAGCACTCAGTCACCAGCCTTTTATAGCCTATTTATGCAACTTTCGCCTCAAAAGCATTGTGTATGGCACACAGGTTTCCCTAGCATCCCATATAGGAGCACTGTAGCATCATCTCTAGAAACGCAGGAGAGGAGGATGTAAATCTCAAGGACTGCAAAACTATGTGTGTGTGTGTATATATATATATGTATATATACACACACACACATACACACACACTGCTTGGGGATTTAACTTTCAAAAGCCTGTTTTTGACACTAACGTGAAAGTTTATTTTAAAAGAATGTGTCCCTGAATATGTTCTTCCTTGAGGCACACATTCAAGTTCAGTCTATGGGTATCAGTCTCCATTTTAAGCAGCCATTGAGAGCTGAGGACTCAAGAGCAGCCAAAACTGTCTTAAAACCAGGTCTCCATGAGCTGCAGTAGCAGCCTGAATCGCAGCAGAACAAAGCAGTCTCCCGTGTTTAACAATTTTATTAGAACCTGAAATAGCAACAAATGCAATGAAGTTAGCTAAATCAGTTCCTGTTAACCTACCAAACTTACCTTCCTTGTTAGACATAAGGCCTGGTAGCACTTGTGAAGCTTTGGGGTTTTTAAGGCACAACATAGGCCTCAGGACTCCCAAGCTTGCACCAGGTTATCTAGCAAGACACTGCAACTCTTCACAAAACCTTCATTACTTACACCGAAGTTCTTTGAAACACCCTGTACAAATTCTCCCCATCACTGTCAGAAGTTCTATCTTTAAACAAAATAAAGCTGGTAAATGCTGTAAGCAGTTATCTTCTATGTGAAAAAATAAATTAAAAAACCCCCAAACCACCAAATCCTCTTTCCGGGGGAGTTTAAAGGGTGACTTCTTTTAGACCATGTTGGCTGTAGTGTAACAAAACCCCAATATCCTCCACAACCTAACATGAATCCAGCAGACACATGGAAAATACAGAATGAAGATGAGAGGGCTGAAAAGGGACAACGAAAGGTATACTTTTATAGCCTGAAGCATGTTTCAAGTAGCTCAGATTTTCAAAGTAATTTTAAAAGTTGTGCACTTTTAACTTGCTCCTGAATACTCCACTATTTTTTTCTGACCTTTCCACCTAATTACTTTTCTCTCCTCTCAAAGAGCAACAGCAAATGAGAAAACAGATCACAGGAGAAAGAATGAAAGCAGTGAGTTAGCATATACTACTAAGTACTGAAAGTATTCTATAAGCTGCCAAATGTAAGAGCAACATAGCAGCTTTCAGTTTTCCTCCACTTAAAGCACTATGTTTTGAAATGTTTAGATGAAAATGTCCAAAGTTCATGCCCAAGCTCCTCAAAGTTTTAAACACAACATCTTACAACAGAGAACACTGTTTGTCTTTTTATTTGTAAACCAGAGTTTGAAATATCTTACAATATACTTTTAATTTCATATTTCTAAAGAAACAGCATTTAAGAACTGAAAGAACAGTGTGCCATTGAATGTTAAGGACCATATTTTTATAAACCTTTATTAAAAAAAGGTTATACAGGTATGATGAATTTGTTGCATTTTAAAGTCAACTACTTAAGCATCTAAATGATTGGAAATTAAGTGCAAAATTGAAAGTCCAGTCACAAATGAGGCTGTAGAGTTGTGCTCAAGATAGAAGAGGTCTACCCATGGCAGGCACAGCTGCACACTCATGGGCTAACTCAGTCTGTCTCAGCCATGAATCCTGCAGATCTGAGCGACACCACCGATTAAGTGAGTTTGATCTACTTAATATAAACTCTCCCTTTCTAATAAGAAGGATATTAACTAAAGCTTTCAGTTAAGCAATAAACCCTTTCTAATTAGCAACAAAAAATAAAAATGACATGCTTACTCTGTTTCAGGCACTTTCAAGATCATTTTATTTACTGTAGGTAAAAAGCTAGTATACAGATTAAGGGATCCCTTAAATTTCAACTCTACAGTTATACACCATCTAGTATTCTTGCTCTGAATATTAACCAAAAGTTTCTAAACACCTGTAAGCCCCACTATAAATCTATATTGTTATGAGGAAAAATGAAATATAAATCAATGTTTAATTTTTTCAGTACATAATATTTACACTGTGAAACCATGGGAGATAACAGGCAGTGGCAAAGAGGCAATAAATTTTAAAAAGCAAAAGTTCTATATTTTTTTTTACAATACTGTGCTAATCAGCATAGTTGTATATAAAAAATAAAAATATAGCAGAGCATCCTATTACAGAAATCTTAATCATCTGAACTGCAGTCATTACTTGCTAACTGCTTACATGCAACACCTTCTAGGACTCACTTTTTGTTTTTAAGGTGTAAAATCAATTATGAGGTTTGAGACAAACATTAATTTGTGTACAGGATTAAAAACTGCACTCAAGAATTGTACTAGACACAAGCCTCTTCCACACAGGAGGAGGGAAAAAAAACCAGTACAAATGATGATAAAAAGTGGTCTCTTTCCATACACTAATTATCAAAGGCAACGCATAGGCTGAGAATACCTGGATGGCAGACTCTGTAGACACTGGAAACAAACAGCTTTCACTTATGTGTTCTTTACATGAGGCCTTTTTTCCACTGAATGGCAATGACTGACAGCAAGTAAGGGGCACCAGGTGTACAACTAAGTAGATCTCGCAAAATACTAAGATGGAGCAGTTGTTAATATACAATTTGAACTATATATACAATATAATGGAATGTATCCCATCCCAAAACTGGTTTATGAAACAGTTGGACCTTTCTATACTAGCCTTATGATTCAGCTATCCTTCTAATGAAAATATAAGCACACAAGAGACTTGCATGAGAATTAAAATTCATGGGGCATTTTACAGGAACTATTGACAAAGCTGCTTAATGGTATTCTGCTTTTAAAGTAATTTTGTTAGATATAATTGAAACAACATCTGTGTATAAAATGTCCTGACAGACACTTCAACGTGGAGCTTTGGTGCTTTAAAAAGGCCCTTTTTAGTCTGTTACAAACTGTACTGCAGAAGTATTGATGCATGCACACATCTGTGTCAGCTGAGACTAGTGATCCAACTGCATGCACATTTCCTCCTTGAGGTGCTTTCCATGTTAAACCACTTCAGTAACAGTAAGATGAAAAATAGATTGAACAAAGTATTTCAGGTAACTCAAACTGAATAGGAAATGGAATGCCAATATGGCAGTAAAACCTTTTTCTGTTGTTGTTAAACAGGAAAGTCTCTTGTACCAGCAGAAACCTGTACACAGATACACAGAGAAGGAGGGAATACACCACTTATAATTCCCATTAAACAAGAGCCGATTCATCATGTGAGAAGGTACAAATTACAGAAAACATGAATAGTCAATAGAAGAGAAACAACTGGTTTACATGAAAGAGAACACTTCAGTCTGAATGCAGTTATTTTGTGAAAGCTGCTACAACAGCCCACAAAACCTCATTCGTGTTGGCTTTCATACATTCAACCTCAGGGTCTAAATCCAGAAGTTGCCGCACTCTCTTTGTGGCTAAATCATACTGCTCATCCAAAAGGGGGGCAAAAGCGTTCTCCAGAACATCTGAAGCATGGGCTAAATAAACAAGTGCCAGCAAGCGCTTGTCCATGCGGTGAGGGTCATTCACCCATTTGTCAAGAACTGCTTCTTGAACCTTCCTGATGAGGCGCTGTTTGATATTGTTGTTGGTGAGAGGGTGCGTAGTCATGTCAAAAAGAAGGAAGTTCTGTTTCTCCGTTGTCAGTACACCTTTTTCCACTAGATTTTTAGCTAACCGTTCACGCACATTTCTTAGTTGGTAGTGCAACTTCAGTGGGTTCCATGTTTCACCTAAAAAAGCAAGCAAAAGCCCCAACAGTCAGGCAAAGTTTAAGATGTACCATTACAGTGATTTTCCCCACCACCCTCCCCTCTGGTGCAGAATGAGCTGTCAAATTCATATAGCTGACTATTACACTAAGATACTGTGCTAATGTCAGCATTTCTCTGATCTCTGACCTGCCCAGATACAGGCACAGACAGAGACCACGAGAGCCTCCTTGGAGGAACTTCAGTGTGCGTTTCAAGTTTGGATGAAATGCTAGCTAAGCCATGTCTTGATTAGGGATGTGACAAATAAGCAGTTTTGTACTGAAGAAAAAAAAATACAAAACCCAAACCATTAATGAAGAAAGAATTTACTTGTCATAATCAAAATAAGCATCTCTTCCAATCCTGTGCATTTGTCTGCTTCCAGCCTTTTACCATTTCAGAGACTGGAAGAAGTGCCATTGCCTTTCCTTCTGCCACAGAGACAAGCTAATGCACACCCACCCTGTGCAGTTCAATATTTCTTCAGGTTTTCATCTTCTCTCCCTTCCTGCCCCCACCAGGTGAAACAGCGACCATGCACATGGGGGTGTCTGTGTGTGGGTATATACACATGAACAAATGTTGGGCAGGGGCTTTAATATTTCTGTAAAAATTATTTCTAATGCTTTTTGTTAAGGCAGAAGAACTCGACCCTTCAGAGTGCGCGACTGTGTGTGCATTAAGGAGGGAATTTAAAAAGCACAAAATCTGCATCAACAGCTAATGATAAAGCTAAAATTGTTAAGCACCAAGAAATCCACCTTTGCTTAAGAGCTCACTTAATAAGCTACAAATTTTAGGTTTAGCCTATGTAAGTATTTATCATAAGTATATTAAGATCCCTTCCTAGTATAAAAGAGTTTATGCATTTTAAGATGCAAGAGAAGAAACTACATTGACTACTTCTTACATAGATGGGGGTTTTTCCTGTAAATGATATGGTAATTTCTGTATCAATTTGTTTATGCAACAGAAAGCTTTTTAAAAATTCGTTGGTTAACATGCAATAAAATAATAAGGGTAACAACCACCACTGCAGATGATTTCAAGGTTTCTCCCACTGTGATGGAGGGTAACATACACTGTATCCAAATAACACCCAAGTTAAGTAAACAAATCTGGGGATACCAACCGCATAGTGAAAAGCAGAGAACCCCCAGGCCTGAACTACACAAGCCCCTACAGGTACCACACCTCACTGAATGCAATTCCTCAGCTTGACCACGAATGAAATTATCCTCCATACACAAGAGTAGCTTCCTTACAGCCTTTCACAGGGCAAAGGCTATTTCCTAGATTTTTCTACATTTGTTAGGTGGATGTTGCTATGTGGTAATAAAAATCAGTACTGTGGTGACACCTTGTGACCAATCTCCTCAATTACACTTGTCCAAATACAGACAGATGTTTGTTAAATCTACAGGAAGACCTGACATTTTGATCCAAACTTCTGCATTCCTTACACTTGTTTTCCTTATGAGGCTATCTTATAAACAACATCAGCCTAGCAAATGTCACCTTACACAACCATATGAATATTTCGATGATGGCTTTGAACTCATACATACTGTAACTTCAAGCAGCATTCTTCACATCGCTGATAATTACGGATAGAGCAGCTATATTCCAGGATCATTTTTCCCTAAAGCAAAATTCTAGAAGCGTTTATCAGAAAACACCCCAAACAAAACCACAAAATATTTTCATTCAAAGGGCAGTTCTCCAAACCATGGAAAATGCAAAGATCCATAATGCCATCCAAGAACTAGTAATTAACAACCATATGTAAGTAAAAATGATTGGTCCAAGTGTCAGCCACAGCACTAATGGTAACTATCTTCCCAGAGCCAAAGCTCAGCAGGGTCACGAAATACTTCACTTAGCTTAAAGAAAACCCACAACATTGTTCATTCATTAGCTGACCTTTTCTGAATCAGTACTAACTTGATGTGCTCCACACTGGGAGAGAAGGTGAAATGTCAGCACAAATTATGTATTTGGGACAAGAAAAATGAATTGTTTTTGCAGGCTGTAAAAGTGAAGGAGAGCTGAGCAAGAACTGAACTGCAAAGGCTACACAGCAGCCATGCCCCCTACTGATAAGGGCTGCTTTGTTCTCCTGTTTCCCCCCTCTGCCCACAGTCAGGGAGCAAGAGGGGAGGGATGGCAAGGACAGGAGTATGAACTGATGTGCAAGGAAGGCTGTTTAAGGTGGTACAGGATGAATAAGAACATCATAACGAAAACAAGAAGGCAGAGAAAGGTACAGACATTTTGCTCGTTTTCAAAACTTTTATCAGTGTTTCAAGTAATAGATTGAGACAGACAACTTGAAGTCTCATTACCCCCTACCTCCCAGAGGCATGTTGTTGACAAAACAGTGGGGTTTTTTCCTGCATTGTTTGCACAAATGAAGTAGAGCTCTGATTTACTCCAAGGAAGCTGCATTTTACATGTTTTGTAAAAACAGACAAACCCTGGTGCTGAATTCTGGCTACAGAAAAAAAGAGCCAACAAAATAAAAGCACTACATGTTAAAAAATGGTCACTGTTAATTTCAGTTTAATTTATGCATCCTGAGGATACAACTGTTGGCAAGGTATAGGAAAAATGTTAACTGCAATTGTAAAGATGAAATCTAAAGAAGTATCTAACGTTTGAAAATATTTATTACATTTCTCCAGTTAATGGAAAAACAGAACTCCCGACTCTTTGTTTCTTTATGATTAACGGCCAAATCATACTCAATTTTTACATCTGAGTGGTGAGCTTCTTATGTCCTTTCTACATCAGAAGATCTGAATACTGCATCCATACACCTATACTCCAGATTTCCACCAACCCTCATTTCCAATTACAGAGAAAGGCAGTTATATCTCCAGGGTGCAGTCCTGATTTACTTCAGAGTCAGTGGAAGGAGCCTCTTCCACAGAGTTGAGATGTCCTCTGACACTTCCACACAGATCCTTTCTGTACCAAGTCAAGTCAAAAGCAACAGTTACTTATACTTGATTAAAGGCTACAATCAACAAGAGACTAACCTAGAGGACAGACTAATTAACTTTTTTGCATACTTTGTCCCCAAAAACCTTACAGTATAATCTCTAGTGATGCCAGATAATTAGCTTTATTGGGGGTAGGGGGGGCGGGGAAGGATATACATTATGTCCAAGGCTTACCACTAAGCAGTTCAATCCAATTCTGTACTGTTTCAGGAGGCTGGGTCTCTTTTATGTGTTTCAGAGCTTCATCAAGCAGAACATCCCCTGTAGGAGCATCTGACTTGCAAATCACCTAGGATACAGTAAAACGCAGTCAGTATTTTGACTTAATTCATATATCATAAACATCCACTAATAAGAATTGGAAAAAATCTATCTGTTATCAAAAACAATGTTTTTTAACAAATAAGGAACCATCTCTAAGTATAAGCAACTTTAAAAAACCCCACCTAGTTATTAAAAAAAAAATCCCTACGTGGGTTTTAATTAAAAAGCTACGTTAAGTCTCAAGTTATAGATAACTTAAACTAATTGACTAAAACTACAGTATTAATAACATGCTTAATACTTTAGTTTTTTAAGGAAGATAAACCACTAAACCAACCAGGTCCTTTGCTTCCTCCCCAAAACAAGTATACTACAGTGGTATACTACTCCCTGATGGCAGCCTATTTTACCGCTTCAAGTCTATTTATTCAAAACACTGCAGTTAAACAATTTGGCCATGTGAAATTGAGAAATCAATTACAAACTGAAAAAGCAGGAAAATGGGTTTTCTTCTGTGTAGTCATGGAAAAAATAGGTTCAAGACAACATCTAGAAGTATTACAGCTCTGAAGAACACATGGTCCAGCAACACTATGTTTCATTTACTAACAGTTAAAACACATGTTATTAGTCAAAATATGTATGTACTAATAAATCCCTTAATATACAATAATAAATGCAATATAATTTAAGTTTGTTATTTAATAACTTCTAAAATTATTCTTCCCTCAAAAGAACACAGGACAACATTAAAAAAATCATTCACAGTAACATAATAAAATTTAAGAATTTAAGTAACTGCTTGTTTACCAATATAAGTAGTTACATAAATCATGTACAAACAGAGTTTTTTCTGGTTAGAAAAACAATAGCACCAAACAAAAACATATAAACTAGTCCAAGTCAATGTTTAAATAAAAGCAAAATAACAATAAAATCTATCTTTCTTCAGGAAAAGAATTACTACATTCTCAAGACTATTTATGAAAATAATGAGTAATCTGTCAGTTTAAATAGCTTTTCAAATTAGCACTGTGTATCAGGTAAAAAGATAACAGGCAGTCAACAACAAAACTAACACATCAACACAATTCCACATATACAAGAGAAGCAGCAAGTGAAAGCTCTTATTTTTTGTATGCTTCACAGTAGTCAGAAAGGTGTCCTGGAAAAGCTTTAAGTGTCCTACCGAAATACATCCCAAGTTTAGTTCTGTTCTGTAGTTCTAATAATCCTTACTACAAACAACAGAATAGGACAATACATTTTCCAGCAAGATGATCCCAAAACTGGAGATATGTACAAAGTCAATGAGATTAAATGAAAACTGCTGGAGAGATCTCTGTGAATACCTAACAGGCAAAAGCTGGAATACTATTTTCAATTTATATAGTATGTATAAAGAACAGAAACTATAATAAAAACCAGCAAGAATGAATCAGTCCATAATGCCAGGCTAAAAAGAACAAAGTTTGTTTAGATCTAAAAAGAAGGCATGTAAGGTATTTTTACAAAGAGGGGATCAAAACACAAGTTTAGGGTGCCTACTTTGGGAAAAATAAAATACCAGCTTATTCTGGAAATACGGAAAATGCAGGATGTACTGTCAAAAACTTCAACAGGCAAATTAAACGAGAGCTGCTGATGTGCATTCAGTAGAGAATTTTAAGACTAAACATCTATCTGCCAGGGAAGAATCAGAGTAACCTCATTATCTTGTTACTGCATCAAGATTAAATGGTCTCTTGAGATATGGTCCAGGTATCCATTTTGGGGAGCTGGAGATCACTCCAACCATAAGCCCTGGTTATTTGGGTTTACATGTAGTATACCACTACATTTTAATCCAGACAAACTCTATTTGAAACTAAACACACAACAATGCATATTTATCATCTTTCTGATTTACAAGCTTGCACCACAGCATCATGCAAAACCTCTATTAACCACATATAATGATATTACATATCTTCCAGCTTTATATCAAGATTCTGAATTTTTTGACATTTCTATTCTTTATTATATAAGAGTATACTTCAAGTTAGGTTTTTAAGCTGCTAGATTGTAGCTATTAATAGCCACCTTTCAAATATTCCTTTAATAATTAACCAAAGCCCACCCAATTTATTTATCTTTACTTCTTTTCAAAAGTGACATTCCAGCAGTATTTTAGTTTCTTTGAAGTGTCCTGTATGACTAGTTTCACAGTAACCTTAGTTACACTGGATTGCTCCAGCCTGCTGCATTTGGTAACCTACCACTCATCATCTCATTTTAAGAGGTAAGATGTGAAGTCATCTTTTTGACCTGTTTTATTACTTTAAAAATTATCAAGCAAAACAAACCTCCTGAAGAGACAGAAAATGCTTTTAAAGTCTAGCATATGCATAAGGTTTGGGGTTTTTTTAATTTAGAAAACAGTTTTCCTTGCTTATTTGGGGTTAAGATACTATTTTCTACCACTGCAGAGAAGTTTAAGAAGCTAGCATGAACATAATGCACCATAACACTACAAGCCTAAACATACAGGCATTTAGAGGAAAGAGCTGTAAGGAGCATAGACTCCCCTGTTCAACCCAGGACTCCATAAGCTCCTGTGAAGCAACAATGCACAGTGATTTTGTTTATAAGTTTACCATTTTCTGTTGCCAGGCAAACAGCACCATTTCTTCTCACTTCTTTGCTACACTGAGTATTCACTGCACAGATTCTTCTGATTATCCTTCCCCTCGAACAAAAATATTTTGGTACACTGTTCTGTGGTATTTCTCTTCCCTTCCCAGCACATGGAAACAGGCAGCAGCGGAAGCCCAGCCACCTCTCTTGTATCTTCATGGATGTGCTCTTTCTTGAAGGATTTATTGATGAATGCTTTTTGACTAACTCTCTTCAGTCATAACTTCAGAAAAAGAGTGGGGAATCAAGTGGGTTGAGGATCTTGTGAATTAAATCACCACAGAAGATTAAGCATCTACAAGGGGGAGGGTTTTTTCTCTCTGAAAGAGGAGCTAAGGTAAAGAAAGAAGCTAAGATCCTGGTTCTTCAGAGATTATGATCCTTAGCCTTAATGAAAAAAGTCTTTATTTATTCCAATTTTTCAGTGATTTAACAGATACTAGATTTGCCTTGTATCCGACTGCTGATGAAATTTCAATTACACAGAATATTTAATTTGCATTTTCCATAATGCAGTTTTGCGATTAAGCAATGATAAAGATTAAGCCCTTCTTGTGTTGATTTTCAAGTAAACTTCGTTAGTTAGTTTTAATACAAAAATTCGGTCATGCCCCAAATCACTTAGAATTGTCAGCTATAAAATACTGAAGTTAATCCATCACGGATCTGTTAGATTTATTTTGTTTTTAAGAAGTCTAATGATTTGGCTTGCTTTCCAAGGCTGTAAAACAGCATAAAGTACCATTTTCTACCTCCAGTAACAACTGGTCTGAGAAATTATATATAAACCTCAACATTCATTTATTTGTTTCTAAATTGATACCAACAGATAGAACTCCAAAATGATCCAATGTGACGACCTGATAAAATCACAGCTAATGTCTCAAACATCCGATAGAGGATTTTGGTACAGGAAATTATTTCTATGGAAATACTTGGGCTGTGCAGGTAATGGCAGGAAGATGCACAAGAGGAGGACGTCCAACGGAGGCGAGATCACACTTTACTGGGACCAAACTTCCATTCCTGGAGTGACTCCATAAAGAGCAAATAGAGAAGACATTTTCATGATGCATGAGCCAAGAAGGTTGGTCAGACAACAGTCACACCTGCAGGGAGGGGAGAGGAACTCCCCAATGATGCCCAAGCCCACTATTCTCCAGGAGAATCCAAAGGTAGAAACTACACATGCACCAAAGCAAGAATTCTAGAAGCACAGACTGTGCATGATGCCTGATTAGCCTAACGAGTCCAAGTGCCCACCTGGAGGGGGGGCAAGGAATTATAAAGGACACAAGTCAAAGCCCCAGGTGACTGCACCCTCCTGGAACTGGACCTCTAGGCTGGCTGGACCAACACTGGAACCAGGACTGGTGAAATCTTTTTCGCCTTGCCCTCTCCCTCTCCCTCCCTGCTTCTCTCACTTTCTTTTTCTTTCTTTATCTTCTTTTCTTTCTCATTCTCTACTCCTGTATGCCCCCATATAAGGCAAGTCTTGTTGGGGCATGTTTACAGCTTGTCGGTCCATGTTGTAGGACTTGCAGCTTGTCAGTGTATGTTATGGGATGATTACTTGTCAGTGTATGTTAAGATTTACAGCTTGTCAGAGTATGTTACAAAGTTTACATCTTCTTGCAGAGGTTGCAGTGCTTACTGATGAAGTTCCATGCCAGTACCTGTTGCGAACAAATAAGAACCACCCCTGGTGTTGTTTCACCTTAATCCTGACCTGGGATCTGAGTTGTTGCCCTGAGAAACTGGGACACCACATGCAATGATTACACACTCTTAAGCCAAATTTACGAGAATATTGCAATACATATGTCACAGTGACTTTCGAAGTTTCACTAACATCCATCAAGTCCTTGTTTCCCAGTTTCTCTTTCTGCAGCATTCAAGCATGGATTAAACGTGTCTTGATCCATTCTAAAGTTCTGTCTTAGAAACTTCAAAAAAATATCAGCAAAGATCCACCTGATTTAAGGCTTTAAGTGTAAAACATTATAGCCAGCAATCTTTTAAGTCAGCTGTATGACCAAGGCCACAGTTAGCTGGTTATAAATTGGTACTACTGCCCAACGAACAGTTCTACCCTCCTCTTGTTCTTACCTTGTTGCTTGTGCTAGCAGTCTCACTTGTATCCCACCTGATGACAGGATCAAGTGATTCAAGTAAAAACTAAACTGATCAAAGAAGGAAATTAGTTTTCAGCCAGAGGGGTTACCTGACAAGGCTGCATAAGTGCTAGTAACAACCCAAGAGAGATGCCAGTAAGCCTCTTCGCAAAGACAGGACCACCCTTCCCAGCTGCAATACAGTCTAAAATGACTGCAGTCTAAACTTCTCCCTTCAAAGCATGGCTTGAAGATACAGGGTTTTGAATCACAAATCAAAGCTTTGAGTTTTAAGGAGGTTTTATCTTCCCACAAAATGTGAGGATGGACCTGGGCAAGGAGAAAGAAGCACTAGCCTGAGAGGCAGAAGCTATAGAAAATGGTATTGTTGCTGAATCACAATCTTGGATGCAACTAGACAGCTCATTCCACTCACTAAGCACAGTATTTAATTAATTCACTGTGAAAGCTGAGGGTGAGGGGAGCAAAGCCTGAAAAAGGGGGACAAGGAGGACACTTGGTAGAGTTGAGACATTTATATCTAGACAGGACAGAAACAAAACTGAAATCTGGTGTTAATGTAAAACTCCATACAAGGTACAAAGTAACACAAGTTATTCATGAGAATGATTTCTAAACGGAGAGAGGTGTGAAGGGGAAAAAGAGACATCATATATCAGCAGTCAGGGATTTTATTTGCAATAAGTTACTTATGTAGAAACCAATTATCATTTGAATTTTAAATGAAAGCCTTTTTCTTAGAACCCTCCTGCCTGCAAAAAGAAATTTCCTGATTGCCTTACAACAGCAGAAAGAATGAAACCTTTAATACCGGGTAGCTTTTAGACCTCCTTAAACAAAAACACACCTACCCACCCTCAAAACCGCAATAAAATTTAACAAAAAACCACCAAACAAACAAATAAAACCGGAAAACATACCACCACCAAAGAAAACAATAATTTTGTCTGTATTCTTTACTGAAGATATGCACAGGTTATTTTTCCATTTTCCTAAAAAAAATACCCGACAGTTAAAATTTCAGGTAGGGCAAGCTGACAAAGTTTGCACAGAATTAAAATAACTGCTAAAGAACATTCCTGAATGCCTAAGGAGCCAAAAGCTTTGGAGGAAAAAAAAAACCAACCAAACCTGTGCAAACTAATCAATGCTGAGTATGCTTAAATGAAGCTAAAAGAAGTAGTAGTTGTTTGTCTGAACAGAGGTTTGATTCTTCAGAAGAGAAGGATGCTGGGAGAAGTTTGGGAAATTTGTAAGCTTTCCTTTAAAAAATTCAGTGAAATATAATATTGACAGGGAACTGTGCCATAAAAGTGAATTTATCTGTGGTGGATAGACAACATTTGACCATGTTTTCAAATCAGCTTATTTTACAAGTATCCTCTAATACCAATGAAGTAAAAATTCTTCAAACAGTGTGACTCTGCACATTTTGTACAAAGGAAAAATCCAGGCCAAAGGAGTAAATTAAGTCCTAAATCTTCAGCCTAATTCAGTAAAGGACCTTAAAAATTTACCCATCTTGGTCAGTTTTGTGTTCTCAAGAGGCCAAACCAAGTTTGTTTCCTTCTCCTGCACCTCAAGCACAAAATGCAACATTGTGTACACCAGAATTAAACTGTGGCTTGCAGGATACATTTGGTGGGCTGTCAGCCATTCCTGTGGCCTCAGCTCACATCTCACCAACATTGTAGAAGCCCATTCCTTCAGCAGATTACTGGCTCTCAGAAGCAACTGTTGCCACCGCACCCTGCCCTGAGCCACTGCCAACTGTTTGTGCAAGGTTCCCAACAGCAGCAGGAACACGTCAAAAGAACAAACAGGAGCAGAGAACAAGTACAGAATATTTTCCAAGGCACTTCGGCCCCCTCATTTAAGCACCTTAATTCCATGCATTTAACTTAGGTCAGTACTCAGAATACCTATACCCATGTGTCCTGGTTTCAGCTGGCACAGAGTTAGTTTTCTTCCTAGTAGCTGGCACAGTGCTGTGTTTCTGGATTCAGTGTGAGAATAACGTTGGTAACACACTGATGGTTTAGTTAGGGTAAGTGCTACTTCGCAACAAGTTAAGGATTTTTCAGTCTCCCGTGCTCTACCAGTGGGGAGGTGTACAAGAAGCCAGGAAGGAGCATGGCCAGGACAGCTGACTAACTAGCCAAGGAGATACTCCATACCATAGAGCGTCATGCTCAGTACATAAACTGGGGGGGGGTTGGTCAGGAGCAGCAGATCACTGCTGAGGCATCAGCCAGTCGGTGTTGAGCAGTTATATCAGACATCACTTGTTTTTTCTTTGGTTTTTATTTCTTTTTGTTATATTCCTTTTCATTACTAGTATATTATTATTGTTATTATATTTTAGTTTATTTATGAAATTGGTCTTATTCAACCCATGAGTTTTATTTTTTTCCCCATTCTCCTCTCTGTCCCACTTGAGGTGGGAGGAAGGGAGAGCAAGCAGCTGCGTGGTGCTTAGCTGCTGGTTGGGTTTAAACCACAACACCACATAAAGAAAAAAAAAGTATTTTCCTTACAACCAGTTGTAATTTATAGCTACTGTACTGCCCAGAGTATGACACAAAAGTAAAGGTGATCATTTTCCTCCACTTACCTTTCTTGTTAATAGACTTTTGCGCCTCATTCCACAAGCCTCTAGCTGAAGTCGACCTCGCAATGCCAATTCAATTAACATACAGCCACGCAATCCTGATGAGATGCAATCATTCCAGAATGATGTGTAACCCTGCGAAAAATTAAACACAGTAAGATATCTCCATCTCCCCCTGAAAAAAAAAACAAAAAGGAAAAACAAAAAGGAAAAAGAGGTTTACTGCATTCTCTAAGCAGTTCTCCTGCCTTCATATACTTTTGAAGTAGCATCACTAGTCAACTATCGTTCCTGTACTGAAAAGATGAAAGGCAAACAGACTCATCCCCTATTAGTTTTGACACTTAGTCCCTGCTCTTTGAAGAATAGGAAAACCTCAGGAAAGTGATACAAAAAGAAACAGCGAGTTATCAAGAACTGTGAGATATAAAAGTGTACTTTATATATAGTCAAAATAAATGTACTAAATTTTTAAGACATCAAGCATTTGTCATTATTGATACCACACAGATGTATCTGTTTCCTGAGAATTAGTAACACAATTTTACATCCATAAACAATACGGCACTGATAAAGTAGTAACAACCTGAAAATCAATATCAAGTACAATATGTAGTATACTGGAAACACAAATGTGATAATCAGCACAAACCACAAGACAGATTTTTTTTTTTTTTAGCTTGAATATAGTAAACCAAAAGACAAAAAGTTTTCAAGCAAATATTTGGAACAGCTACTATTCTGTCATTTAAATCCTTTGAAAACATGTATTTTTAAAGTTTAATGCATATTGTTCTTACACATACTTCAAAACTGCAAACCACATTTATTCTATGAACCACAGTATATGTACCACACTTCTCATCTATTTTTCTGCATTGATAACTGTTTGCTTAAAGGGCAGAACAGAGCCTTTGACCCAATACATTTTCAAGATATCTAGACTTCTGTACTTCAGTGCTCAAAAATTATGACCAAAAATATCTTACAAAAAGGATTCTATTCTACCTACAGAGTAGCCAACACAGTCTTGCATATTTTTAAATATTTAATTATCTAAGACAAACCAAAGTTATCCTGAAAAATGTTTTCTCTTTTGAGAAATGACTTCAGAAGCAGTTGGTATGATCCAGAAGGATCTTCCAAACCTCCTCTATGATGCATCTCTGAAAATAACCACTTTGGGATACTTCAAAGTGCTGCAAACAAGAAGAAAAAAAAAAGGATACCACTCCCTTTCATAAAATTTATCTTAACCAGTAACAAAGACTAGCTTAAATCAAGAGCAATTCAATTTTATTCTATTCACAGATGGAAGCTGCCAATGTACTGAGATACAAGATGCACAAATCTGAAATCCACTAAACTTACAAACTGGTCCCTATCTAACATATGCCATTAAACACAGACTTACGTGATAATATTTGTTTCCATTTACCTCTCAGCTATTTTCAAGAGCTGCATTACATAGTTATATAGATGACCAATAATTTTGAAAAGCTGACAAAAGCTCTGAATCTCTAGAAAGTAATTACTGAAATATGTCACATTTATTTAAAAGGCCATGAATACAAGGTTGGAAAAGCATTTGAGAAGTTATCTAATCAGCCTTCTACTCATGAAGTATGAGCTCCTCTCATAAGTCAGCTATTCTGTAAATTAAGGTTCTGGTTGACGCCAGACATTTCTTTGCCAAAAAAAAACATGCAAGATAAGGTACAGTATCTGCTTGATAGAAAAAGAAAAACCTATAATATAAAGAGATGATTCCAACATTCTACTATTTCCAATCAAATTGTCTCTTTACATAGTAATTTTTGAAATCAGATAACACATATGCAAACTAAAAATCTATTGCACAAGCTTACAGCTGTGGCACAATAAATGCACACTTCTTTCTACTCACAAAAAGTTTCATATTATCATGCAAACAATTAAAGCACTAATTTTTCTTCCCCCTTTTGTTTAGTAATGAAAACCACACTTTTTTAAATTACTATTTTTCAGTGAAGTGCTGTTAATTACACTGCTCCTGGCAACAATTACCAGATGTAAACTCCTCTGCTCCAGCAGTTGTTCAACATGTATGATTACAGGCTGTGGGTTGCAGAGAAATACAGAATTGTAGAATAATTCAGGTTGCAAGGGACCAAAGGAGTTCTTTAAATCCAACCTCCTACTAAAAGCAAGTTCAGCTATGAAGTCAGATTAAGTTGCTCAGAGTTCTATTCAGGCAAGTCTTGAAAACTGCCAAGGATGGAGACTGCACAACCATCCAGCATTTTTTAATCAAGTGATCCTGAAAGGCATCTCAAAAAGAGTATATTCTTCATAAATGGAATCGCTTCCTCTAGTGGGTTAGATGACATCAAAGTCATGAGAATGTATACTGCGTCACCACCTATCCCACCCCCGCCACGCCCCCATCCCCCAGCTCAGAGTTTGCAGGTGATCCACTACAAAAGGAACATCATATTTCAACAGAGAGATTATACTGCTATTAACAAAATGAGGAAGAAGATATTTTAAAGAGTCAGTGTCATCCTGTACATGTTTTAATCCATTAAACTGATCCTTCCAGACAGTTCACACAGACAGACTGTTTTTGGCACTTACTGCAAAGACCTCAGACAACTGAACCTTCATAGAAGGTCAGTTTAGCCCACGACAGTTTAACTTAATCATCCTTTAAATTAACTCAAACTTCCTGGTGTAACTGAAAATGAGAAGAAGCAGACATTTTGTCTCTGACATTGCAAACAGCTTCTTGACACCTACTTTAAATGTCATACAGCATAACTAGAAACAGGTGCACAAAAGATAAACAATAATTCTCAGCATTATATAAACTAATGCCTATTTTAAAGAGGCTATAGATAGACAGTGAAGAAAAGAGAAGTGAAAGGGGTAGAGAGAATAATAACAATACATGGAGAGGGAAAATAACAATATAGAGTGATGTACAACTTGCACAGGAAAAAATTATTTTTTCATTTTCCACAGAAAATGACTAAAAGGTGGTAAATGAAGCTAGCTCACAAGTTGGAAGAGTCAAAGGCCAACTTCTTTTCTATGTTTCTATTCAACTGTTTTTACAAGAAGGCAAAAGTTTTTAAAAATTTATTATAAAAATTAGTTAAATTCATAGGAGATTGATAATGAAGTTTGACAGACAGCAATGGATCTATAAACCAAGCTCCCATCCAGCTGAAGTTGGTGTATGCTGGAGGAGTCGTCATCATTCTGTGCACACTCATTCCCTGAATGTGGCCTGGCCATTGCTCATTACAGGTTATGGAACAAGATAGGGATTTGGTTTGACCTTTTAACACTGTTCTCACTGTTATTCTAAATACTTAACAGTCTCAAAGCCCTTGGATTAAAGATCAAAGACCACTATTTATAGATGCAAGTCATTACACTATTTAATGCTCTTAAAGAGCACTAGTATTCTCACAAATACAACACCAAGTATTTTTACTCTGTCTTCCTACAAGTCTTTCATAGTTTTATAAACATCTTAACTCAATGAAATACTTATTTCATTAAAGTTGCTAAGCAGCAGGGAGAAAAAGAAGAAAGTCTTACAAGACAGGGAATTATTTTTATCTCATAGCAATCACAGTAGAATAGCACTTTAAACTATGAATAGCTTGCAAGACAATTTTAAATCTATGTTGATTCCAAGATCAAAAGAATGCTTACAATGGTCATGTTTATTTACACAACACAGTGCAAAAGCATTTTTTGTCAGAGCTGACCTAGAAATTTTCAGGTAAAAATTGCGTTTTGCTAGACAAGCATAAAGGGAAATTAAAATAAAGTTTATTACAGAAACTTGTTACCATATTAACTTTGAAAGCTCAGACTTTCCACCCAGGTTATGGTAAAGCACAAAGCTATTCCTTCTGCTTAAAGAGTACGTTATCCAAAATCCATGTTCATTATGTCACTTCTCTCCCACCACCTCCTGCAGCGTTTATTCACTTTCTTCTCATGCCCCTTACACAATTTTCAGCTCACACAGGTCCTCCTGTTCAGTTAGCCATTATCCACTTGAAACTCTCACTTACTAAACAGCCCACCTCCTAATGATGGCCCTGTGCCTTGCTGTTACCCAACCTATCTTATCTTCCAGTCCCTGCTCTTACCTTGCCTCTTTAGCTGCACTTCCCCGTCACTGAACTGTGTCACCCTCTCACTTACACTGGCCCCCCTCCCCATCTCATCTTACTCTGACATGTAATACATTAACTTATGACTTCCAGGTTTATAAAGATCTGAATTTCTGTGACCTCACAGATTTCCTTACATATGTTCACACAGATGGTGCAGACAAGACAGCAAAGTATTTACACTATATATGATGAGCAGCCATCTTGTCTCTGCTCCAAGAGAGCGACAAAGTCACATGATATATTAGCAGACATACAAACAATTAATCCCTCCTGATATGCTGGGTCTAGCTCTGCTGAGCAAAGAGCAAAGCACAAGCTCTTGCAGGTTCTTCCCACTTACTGCAGGAATACGCCAGCTCAGATCCGCATACAAAGCAGTGTAAGCATACACCAGGACCCAGTCTCCTACAGATGCTGACACACAGAGTACAACAGAAGGAAAGGTTCATATGCATATGCCACAGGGAAAGAAGGATCAGGGAAGAGATCTTGTGGAAACATTCTACCAATGTCCCTTAAAAAACTTTAACTTACATTATTTCCTAACGACGTCCTTTTCCAGTTTGTCTCCAAGACTCTCAAACTTCATAAAGCTATGCTTAAAATCAAACAGGGTCCTATGACTTGCAAAAAAAGTGTTTTTAAGGATTGCTAGTAATTATGAGAACACCTGCATAGACAAAGAAATAATGCCATTCAGCAGCTCAAAATTATCACCCCAACTGTAAAAAACCTAACAGAATCATTTGTTTATGCTATGATAAAGCATGGCTAGATGGACAAACTATACACAAAACACATACATGTTAGCTCTGACAATACTACAGCATTCTGAACTTGGTGGCTACCCAAATATTTTGTTGAAACACTCAGTACTAAGTATTACAGCATAAGAGCTGTTGCAGAAGTATTAAAGTACAATTCTATAGAACAAATTGATTTCCAATTTTTCAAGAC